GGAGCCTGCCCCCCCTGAAGCTTCCGCCGGCCTCCCGCCGCTCCCCGCCGAGGCAGCGACGGCGGCTCTCCCTTTCGGCCCTCGCGGGCGAGGGCCTCCCTGGAGCGCCTCGCGTGGCGGCCGAGTCGGAGAGGGGAGGGGGAGGAGGAGGAGGAGGAGGAGGAGGAGGAGGAGGAGGAGGAGGAGGAGGAGGAGGAGAAGGAGGAGGAGGAGGAGGAGGAGGAGGAATGGGGGGAACCTCCCTGCCCCACCCCGCCCCGCGGAGTCCGACCTCCTCCGCTGGAGGGCGGCGGCAGCCCCCGCGGGAGGGGCGAGGGGCGGCGGGACCTGCCGCGGGGCTCGGGGGGTCGGGGCCACGGCAAGGCCATGCAAGGCGGTCTGCATGCCAGCCCCTGTCGTAGCGCAGGATCAGGGCAGGACAAGATAGGAGGCAAGGCAGGGCGGTCCGCGTGCCGCCAGCTCCGGCAAGACAAGGCACGGGCGCTCTGGCGCAGGATCGGCCCAACGCCGCACGGACAATCTTTGACGAACCCATGGGGCATGGAAACAGTTCATTCTTTTCGGGCGCTCTGGGTGAGCTTTCGGCGACCACGTCGCCTCTTCAGACTGGCCCGAGCTGGAATGGCTACGGCCCTCACTCCGACGCGGACGGCGCAGAGGCCGCGAAGGGAGGGGAAAGGACGGCATTGCCAGTCTGCGCCTGACCTCGTGCCCCTGGCCCAAAAGGATTCCCAGGATTTTCGAGGAGGCCCCACGGCCGCCAGAGCTCCTCCTCCTCCTCCTCCTCCTCCTCCTCCTCCTCCTCTCCTCCTCCTCCTCCTCCTCCTCCTCCTCCTCCTCCTCCACCTCCTCCTCCTCCCTCCTCCTCCTCCTCCTCCTCCGCCTCCTCCTCCTCCTCCTCCTCCTCCTGGGGACACCTTTGGCGAGCCTCCGCTGTCCGCGCCACCCTCGAGGCGATCATCCAGGGCCCGAGAGCTTGTGCTGCAGCTGCAATTTCGGCTGCGCCGCGTCCTTCCAAGGCGAGCCCGCTAATGACACGAGCGCGAATGCCATGGCGCATGCGAACAGCACTTACGCATGACAATGCGCAGCATATACAAATATGAAATACCTGCTCGACTGCGAGTTGAGAACAGAAGAAGAAGAAGAATGGTAAAACGAATAACAGCAAAGGTCATAATAATCATGAAAATAGCAATCCTGACAATAGCAACGGTAATACTAATAATAATAATGATAAGAATATGAATACGCATAATCATAATAATAATAATAAAATAAAACTAATAATACTGATAAGAAAATAGCAACAACAGCAACAACAACAAGAACAGTAGTAATAAAAAAAACACTAGTCATAGTAAAACCAGCAACAATAATTATCCTGGCGAAAGGACCCAACCATATGCAGTTGTGAGTATCGCAATTGTGAATATTTTCTTCGGTGGCGCTCCCTATGGGGCCACGAACCGCATGAGGGGTGTGCCGAAATGTGGCGGGGTACACAACGCAAAGGAATACGATAGATCTGATTACGAGAGAAAGAACGCGGGTGAGTCAGAGCGCGAGGGAATCTGAGTATGAATGGGTCTGCGCGCGAGTGAATATATTTGCATGAATGCGATCATGGAACCGCCTAGTGTAAGTGTCGAGCATGCCTGTCCGAACACACGTGACACTGGGCGTGGCCGCCGCAGGCAGCTTCCGCGGGAACCCCGACGGCAGCGTCCGCACGTCGCGACGCCCATGTCGGCACGCCTCTTGCGAGGATCGCGCCCGCTTTCGGCTCTTCTTTTCCTTCCTCTTTGCCCGCGCACTCCAAAATCCAAGGCTGCGGGCGCAGCGCAGCGCGGAGTCCCCGCGACGCGCGCTGGTCGCCCCGGGCGGGGTCCCAGCGACGCGCGCGGGTCGTCCGCTGCGCGAAGCAGAGAGAGCTGACTAGCTAACTGGCTGGCTGATAGCGGGCAAGTCTCTGACCGCTGGGCAGAGCGACGACGGGCGAACGAGGCGCCGGGCCCCCCGCAGCACGGAGTTCCCGCGACGCGCGCTGGTCGCCCCGAGAGGGTCCCAGCGACGCGCGCGGGTCGTCCGCGGCGCGAGGCCAAACAATTAGTCGGGCAGTCGAGAGAAGGCGCGGCTCGGGGGAGACGCTCCTCAGGTCAGGCCTCGCGGATGAACTCGGTGAAGCCGAGCTCCCTGGCGAGGGCCGTCGCTTCCCTCCTGCACCGCTTCGTGCGCGCCGCAAACTGCTCCAGCTGCTTCCGCAAGCCCTGCGGCGGCCCTGCCAGGAAGAACTCGATGCGCGGCGCCCGCATGAGCAGGAGGTCCTCGTGGCGCGTGGCGCGCGAGAGCAGCACGTAGAGCTCCAGCCACCAGTCGTCGTCCTCCTTCTTGCCGTTCCCTACCTCGTGGCGGCCGCAATCCAGGATCACGCCTGGGCGACGTCGACCGAGGGAGCAGCGCGCCGGGCAGCCGACGGCCCAGGGCGAGAGTCCACAGGACCGAGAGATGGTCTGGCCGCGGACTGCTCGCGCCCCGGAGGTCTGGCCGCCCCCGGAGCGCCGTTCCCCCGCCCCGTCGCCTTCGCGCATGGTGCGCCCCTGGCACGCCACCGTGGTGATGACCCTGCCGTGCGAGAAATGCGGGGGGTGTGCCGAAATGGGTGTGGGGGACGCATGCGGCCGCGGGCACTGGGGCCTTCGGTGGAGCTCCCTATGGAGCCACGAAACGTGTGAGGGGTGTGCCGAAATGGGTGTGGGGGACGCATGCGGCCGCGGGCACTGGGGCCTTCGGTGGAGCTCCCTATGGAGCCACGAACGTGTGAGGGGTGTGCCGAAATGGGTGTGGGGGACGCATGCGGCCGCGGGCACTGGGGCCTTCGGTGGAGCTCCCTATGGAGCCACGAAACGTGTGAGGGGTGTGCCGAAATGGGTGTGGGGGACGCATGCGGCCGCGGGCACTGGGGCCTTCGGTGGAGCTCCCTATGGAGCCACGAAACGTGTGAGGGGTGTGCCGAAATGGGTGTGGGGGACGCATGCGGCCGCGGGCACTGGGGCCTTCGGTGGAGCTCCCTATGGAGCCACGAAACGTGTGAGGGGTGTGCCGAAATGGGTGTGGGGGGACGATGCGGCCGCGGGCACTGGGGCCTTCGGTGGAGCTCCCTATGGAGCCACGAAACGTGTGAGGGGTGTGCCGAAATGGGTGTGGGGGACGCATGCGGCCGCGGGCACTGGGGCCTTCGGTGGAGCTCCCTATGGAGCCACGAAACGTGTGAGGGGTGTGCCGAAATGGGTGTGGGGGACGCATGCGGCCGCGGGCACTGGGGCCTTCGGTGGAGCTCCCTATGGAGCCACGAAACGTGTGAGGGGTGTGCCGAAATGGGTGTGGGGGACGCATGCGGCCGCGGGCACTGGGCCTTCGGTGGAGCTCCCAGCCACGAAACGTGTGAGGGGTGTGCCGAAATGGGTGTGGACGCATGCACGCCTTCGATGGAGCTCCCTATGGAGCCACGAAACGCGAAATGGGTGTGGGGGACGCACTGGGGCTTCGGTGGAGCTCCCTATGGAGCCACGAAACGTGTGAGGGGTGTGCCGAAATGGGTGTGGGTGACGCATGCGGCCGCGGGCACTGGGGCCTTCGGTGGAGCTCCCTATGGAGCCACGAAAGGTGTGAGGGGTGTGCCGAAATGGGTGTGGGGGACGCATGCGGCCGCGGGCACTGGGGCCTTCGGTGGAGCTCCCTATGGAGCCACGAAACGTGTGAGGGGTGTGCCGAAATGGGTGTGGGTGACGCATGCGGCCGCGGGCACTGGGGCCTTCGGTGGAGCTCCCTATGGAGCCACGAAACGTGTGAGGGGTGTGCCGAAATGGGTGTGGGGGACGCATGCGGCCGCGGGCACTGGGGCCTTCGGTGGAGCTCCCTATGGAGCCACGAAACGTGTGAGGGGTGTGCCGAAATGGGTGTTGATGATGATGATGATGATGATGATGGGAGGGGGGAGGAGGCAGCGGGAGGAAGGAAGGAAGGAAGGAAGGAGAACGCGGGGCACCGTCTCTTCAAAACGAGGACCCAACACCACAGGATGGTTGGGAAAAAAATACTAAGGGCAGGAGTAGTGCTACGATCAATGGCGATACCAACATGGATACTTGTACTAATGCTGAGGCCCCTTCCCCGTGACTTTCATACATCCCACTCCCCCTTTCTCCCTCTCGACGTTCACTCGGGAGACTCTCGGGAGCGCCTTGGGACGGGGCGTCGTGGGTGCCTCTCGGCCGTTTCGGGGACCCCTTCTGCAATGACGGGGGCTTCGCGGGGGGCACAGCGTCCCCGTCAGAAGGGGGGAGGCTCTGCAGGGAGCTCCTGGGGGGCCTCTCCTCGTGGGGTTCCTCCTGGGCAGTCCTTACCGAGGGGCCTGCTCTGGGCCGTCCCGAGGGCATCCTGCGCTGCCCTGGGGCCCCCGCCGGCGCCCTCGCTAGGGGCCTGCGGGTGCAGCCCGCCCCCGCCCGCACCGCCGCCGCCGCCGCCGCCGACTGCGGCGGCGGCGGCGGCGGCGGCGGCGGCGGTGGCGGCGACGACGACGACGACGACGACGACGACGACGACGACGACGACGACGACGGCAACGACAACGGCGGCGGAGGCGACGGCGACGGTGATGGCGACAGCGACAGCGACGACAGCGACGGCGACGGCGACGGCGACGGCGATGGCGACGGCGACGGCGACGGCGACGGCGACGGCGACGGCAACGGCGACGGCGACGGCGACGGCGACGGCGACGGCGACGGCGACGGAAACGGGAACGGAAACGGAAACAGAAACGGAAACGGAAACGACGACGGCGGTGACGGCAGCGATGGCGACAAGGACAACGACGTGTGCGGCGGCGGCGACGACGGCAACGACATTCGCGCCGCCGCCGCCGAGGGCCGCCACAAGCCGCTGGAGGGCCGCCCAGGGGCCGCCCGAAGCGCCGCCGAAAGGGCGGCGGCTGGCGCCCGGCTTCGAGGGCGACCCGTCCGACTCAATATCCTGCGCCGTGTAGGAGGCCTTGCGGTCGAAGCGCCTGTGCATCTTGCACGCCTCGCCGCGGCCGGCGCAGCGGCGGCAGCTGCAGGCCGCGCCGAGGGCCCCTCCGTCCGCAAGTGAGGGGGCATGATGAGGATCGGGAGGAGAAGGCGGAGAAGGAAGGAGAGGAGGAAGAGGAAGAGGACTTAGGAGAGCGGGCGAATTCTGTTCCTCCTCCTCCTCCTCCTCCTCCTCCTCCTCCTCTCTCCTCCTCCTCCTCCTCCTCCTCACAGCACTGCAGAAGAACATGGTCATCCATGAACGCCAATCCCCTCCTCCTCCTCCTCCTCCTCCTCCTCCTCCTCCTCCTCCTCCTCCTCCTCCTCCTCCTCCTCCTCCTCCTCCTCCTCCCCTGCCCCCTCCTCCACCCAGTGCTGAAGCGAGTCGCAACCGCACATCGCCGAAAACGAGAGTGTAAGAAGGGGCCACGAGCCTGAGGCGAAGCCAGAGCCACACCAGCCGCAGGTCGTGCGAAAAGGGGGCCAAATGCCGAGCCGAAATCGCCAGACGTTGTCATCACCTTGCGCGTGAAGGGCCGCTGCAAGTAGCGCATGGCAGCACCGTGACAGGCTGGCCATTAAGCAGAAACGGTAACAGCTCCTTTGAATCATACGGTGTACGCGGGTGCGCCAACAGCCCCTGCGTGCTTCAGGGACGGGCAGCACATGGCTGCACGCAGCCAGCTGCGCGCAAGAAAGGCGCGCACCGAAGGCCCACCGCAGGCGCACTTGGCGGGTAGTGACAGCAGCGCAAACACTCTCCCCTGCCCTTCTTCCTTGCCCTTTTCTTCCTCCCCCCTCCCTCCTCCTCCTCCTACACTCTTCTTCCTCCTCCCCCTCCTCCTGCTCCCCCACCTCCTCCTCCTCCCGCTCCTCCTCCGTTTCCTCTTCCCCCTCCCCCTCCTCCTCCTCCTCCTCCTCCTCCCTCCTCTCCTCCTCCTCCTCCTCCTCCTCTCCTCCTCTCCTCCTCCTCCTCCTCCTCCTCCTCCTCTCCTCTTCCTCCTCCTCCTCTCCTCCTCCTCCTCTCTCCTCCTCCTCCTCGGCTCATCATCATCATCATCATCATCATCATCATCATCATCATCATCATCATCATCATCAGCATCATCATCATCATCATCATCAGCATCATCATCATCATCATCATCATCATCATCATCAGTCATCATCATCATCATCATCATCACATCATCATCATCATCATCATCATCATCATCATCATCATCCATCATCATCATCATCATCATCATCATCATCATCATCATCATCATCATCATCATCATCATCATCACACCCTTTCCTGGTCCTCCTCTCGTACTTCCTCCTCCTCCTCCTCCTCCTCCTCCTCCTCCTCCTCCTCCTCCCCCTCCTCCACCCCCTCCTCCTCCTTATCTTCCTCCTCCTCCTCCTCCTCCTCCTCATCATCATCATCATCATCAGCAGCAGCAGCAGCAGCATCATCCTCCTCATCATCATCATAATCAGCATCATCATCATCATCATCATCATCATCATCATCATCATCATCATCATCATCATCATCATGATCATCATCATCATCATCATCATCATCCGCCTCCTCTTCCTCATCATCCTTTTCCTCCTCCACCTCCTCCTCTTCCCTGTTCATCACCACCACCAGCATCATCATCAGCATCATCAGCACCAGCATCATCAGCACCAGCAGCATCATCATGATCATCATCAACACCACCACCATCACCACCATCATCAGCATCGCCACCATCAGTAGCATCAGCAGCATCATCACCACCATCAGCATCATCAACCGCATCATCATCAGCCGCATAATCATCAACATCAACAAGAGCATCAGCCGCATCAGCATCACCATCACGATCCCCATCATCACCATCATCAGCATCATCACCATTATCAGTATCAGCATATGCATCGTCATCATCGCCGTCATCACGCAACACAGATGTCTATCGACGCTGAAGGGCGGGGCGCAGCTAAAAAAACATGTGTGGAGGAGATAAAAAAACTCCGCTGCCTTTTCCTCCTCCTTCGATTTTCCACACTTTGGGCCCCTGCAGGCCGAAGTGGGACGGCCAGGGCACCCGCACGCAGACCCAGCGAGGCTTCTCACGGAGCTAACCGAAATTGGGCCGCAGCTAGGCGGCCCGAGGCTGGCGCGGAGGGAAGGGGGGGACCGAGGCGAGAAGGGGGACACAATGACCAAAAACCAGCTGCACGGCACATCGGTTCGCCCATCGACGGCAAACGACGCTGCATAGAGCTACTCGGGTCGTGCGCACAGGCAGCGTCGGGACAGACGCTCCAGGGCCCTGGGGCGGCCGCGCGCGCCCTCCCGCAGCCCCTGCCAGCCGGGGCGTCGGAGGTCGTCGGTGGCCCGGGGGCGGGATAGAGAAGACGTCAACGAAAGCCTTGCACTGGAGCCTCTGCACGCGTGGTTGCTCGCGCCCACTGCGTGAATAATGGCGCACAGTCGGCCCCTATGATAAAGATGCGGGATCAGGATGAAAGGGCCTTGGACGCCCATGCCGAAGCTTCTCGAGCGGGGCGCGGCCAACGAAGGTGGCTAAGGATGGACCGAGGAGGCAAGGATGCATGGGTACCCTTGGGAAGGTCACCCATCCTTACTATGCGGGTTGACTGCACTGCAATAAACCCATCCTGCAGCGCATGGCGTGGTTTTGCGGGGCCACGGCAGCCCCCATGCCGAGGAAAACCTCCAGCGGGCGCTCACGCCACGCACCCGGAGACCCAGGCGGCGTTTTGCGAACCGTTGCATGACATGGCAATGCGCGTGGAGCTCGACGTTGTCCTCCAGCGAGTGGCCGAACCAGCAGCAGGTCCGGCGCTAGAAGCGGCGGCCCGCATCGATGCCGTCGGAGACGGTCCTGAGCGTGGCCGCCTGCACTTTGGGGGGCAAGAAGTTCTCGAGCCTCTGGAGAAGAAGGACCGCGCGACTCACTCGCCGGCCCGGCGGGATCTGCATCTGCTACCTGTCTAGGCGCTGCCGTAAATGCTGGAGGGCGTCGTCGGCGGAGGACGTAGGCAGTCTGAGCAGATGTGCTGCCATCTGGCCATGATCGCGTGCCTCGCCATGCCGTCGAGGGTCTTGGAATCCAGCGGTGATCTCTGGAGCTTGTCGTGGGCCCGCTGCACACTGTGGAAGAACGAATTTTGGAACCAACTTTCTCACCGCACCCTCCGGTCAAGGAAGTCGCAATCCGTGATGGCTCTGTCGAGGTGGCGGACGAGCTCCGCGATTTCGAGCCCACCTGTCTTTCGGCACCCATATTTGTAGACCCTGCACTTCGCGGCGCAGTGAAGGTCAGGGAGCTCCGCAGGGAGGCCGAGTTGCTTGGCGCTGCGCAGGAGCCCGGACGTGACCCAGCCAAGTGGACCACAAAAACAGCCCGACACGCCAGCCGTCTGCTGCTGTCCACGCGGCCGGTGGAGGTTCGAGCTGAGCCACAAACATGAGCACGGAGAACAGGTAAGTTTGTAGGCGAGGGTGCTCAAAAGCATTCCTCCCCTGATGTCCCTCCAGACCTTGGCCCGCTCCCCGAACTTGAACAGCGGCTGGGCCCGTGACGGCTCACCTCGTTCAGGCCCAAGGCATACGCCAAGGCACTTGGCATGGCAGTGAAAGGAGAAGTCCGACCGGGAGCTACCTCGCGCGGCGTATACATGGCACGAGCGTGACAACTTACCCAATGACAGCTTGTCCCAAACTCGGGAGCGGCCAAGAGGGGGGTGTCCAAGAGGGGGGGGGTGCAAATCATGATCGGCGGCATGTGTGCGGCCCAGCGGGGGGGCCGGGAACGTAATGAAACAAGAAGAGGCGCCATGAAACCTGGGGAAATATCGTGGCCCCCGCCATGATATCCACCCCCCCCTAGTCATCACTTCTTTTCCGCCCCCGACAAACCCGTGTAGCACATGATCATGAAAGATATGTGGATGCACACAGTCAGGATACTGCCACGAGAAACACGAAGGCGTGCCTTTTTACGACCCAGATCACGCACGGGCGCACGAGGGGTGCACGAGGAACAGCCATGAAGGACCTCAGGGAAAGTCAGCGAGCGAAGAACGGTATAAAATAAACTGTTTCGCTGTCGGGGGCGCCTGTCCCTGAGCGGCTGGAAAGTTTATACCCCTACGGTGCCACCGGAAGGGTGTAAACTTTCCAGCCGCCCTGGGAGAGGCGCCCCCGACAGCGAGAAAAAGATTATTTTATACCGCTCTTCGCCCGTCAAGAAAGGGAACCCCTTCCGAACCCGAATCAGACGAAGAAACAACGGCATAAGCAGAAATTTTTAGATGTCCGCGCGGAATTCTGGGATCTGCGCTGCGGCGCCAGAGGCGCCGCCATGGGGGGACCAGCGCAGATCCGAGAAATCCGCGCGGAGCTCCGAACATGTATCTGCTCATGGCGTCGAATCTTTTTCGACGAAATGCTCATTCTTTCTCGGCGGCGAGACCGGGGGGAAGTGAGAAGGAGCAGGTCTTCTCAGAAGGCGGCGGGGTTTCTCAGAAGCTCTCCGGCCTTCTGAGAAGTTGCTCGTGTCCTCGGGGAAGGCTCAGAATGTTTCTTACAGGAGCCCGAGGCCTTCCAGGCCTTCTGGGAAAGCCCGCCCCTCCCCACTGCCCCCCCTTTGGATGCTCATTCTGGGGGTCTTCCTGGAGACACTCGCTCCACTCGTGCGTCGAAGCTGCGTCGAACGTCCGTCGATTTGTTCCGACCTTGAGTCGAACCTGAATCGAACCTGAGTCGAACTTGAGTCGGACTTGAGTCGAACTTGAGTCGAACTGGAGTCGAACTGGAGTCGAATTGGAGACGAACAAATACATGAGGTGTCCCCCACGAAGGTCCCCAAAACGAGCATCGACCCCCCCTAGCTCAGCACCGAATTTCGGCGTGCTGACTAGAAGAAGAAGAAGAAGAAGAAAACAAAACACACAAAAACGCCAAAAGTTTATGTGTATGGCGTCTTTTCTTCTTCGAGCAGCGCCGAA